ACTAGGGTGATTCCAGAACTCCCCCAGAGGCTGTCCTGGATGGGGTTGTCATAGCAACCTTCCAGTGCTATCAAGCAACATACACTAAGCTTTGGAAGAAAATCACCATCTTACTGACAAGCTCAAAAGAAGTGGGATGGAGGGCTGGGAAGGTGGCTTAGTGGTAAAGTGTTGGCTTAGCATGCACAAAGCACTTGTTTCGATTCCCCAGTGCCACATAAAAGAAAAGGCCAGAAGTGGCACTGTGGCGTAGAGTACTAACCTTAAGCAAAAGAACTTTAGGGACAGTGCTCAGGCCCTGATTTCAAGTCCCAAAATTGGCACAAAGAACAGAAAAGTAATGGGACGGAGAGCCATGCGGTATCACAGCAGCTCATTAAGGTTTGTAGAGGAAGCCATTGGGTCATCTTGGTGGACACCACCCTGCATCCAGGTTCAGTCTCCTAGTGAGTGAACCCAAACTGTCACGTGGGTCCATTGAGGCCCACGCCCCAGCTTGTGGTGCTGTAGACCAAAACACAATCATGACCTAGAGCTAGCTGCATAGGTCTCTGCCTGGTTCCATCTTGAGCACTGTCCTTCTGCAGGAAGTGGTCTCTGAGGTTGGGGATTAAAGGTGGAGATGATCCACTTTCCACCAAGCTGGGGCTGAGCCAGGTAGGACAGCTGACACTATACTACATGCCTGGTAGAAACTGATGTAGATGGCCTTTGGTCCTACCTGAGGGATCTACTGACATCTCCTGAAAGATTCTACTGGGAGTTTTGGTCCTGGAACCACACAGCACCTATGGGTTCTTCTGGATTATTGCTCTAGCCATGGCATGCCTGACATGGGATTCTAAGAAAAACTCTGACACAGCTCCCATGCCCTGCTCCCCATGAAGTTGTGTCCAAATACTTGCTGCCGTTCATGAGATTGTGGGAGGGAGGTTGTGTACTGACACAGTTCTACAGGCACAATTTAAAGGTGTAGACCCAGGAGTAGAGACTACAGGACATTTCTCCAGCACTGTAGTCTGTACATGGATATGCTGCTTTGATTTAACTTTTATTATCTCCCTCCTTGCAATGTGGGAGGGGTCTCTGTTTGTGCTAAGCTACTAATGCTAGTGGAGGGGAGGAACATGGAGATGGCTTACTTTCTCCTTTGCCCGCACATCCTTCTCTGTTCTTTTGCTCTAATAGAGGAGGTCCTCGGGTCCACACTCCCTGAATTTATCATCTGTTCTTTGGGGAGTGATGCAGGACTTGGTGGTTCAATCTTCCTTGGCTGCCATCTTGTCTGATTCTGGCTGATCACCTTGAATGTTGATGTTCTTTATGTCAGCTCAGTCTGCCTGTACTCACATGACCTGAATTATATTTTTTTAATTATCTCACAAGGAAAAATTTACTTCTGCACAGAAGGGTGGGCCATCAGCCCAAACCTGGCAAG